AATATTACTTGTGTGATGCGGGCTACACAACCCAACCGGGTTTCATATCCCCGTATCGTGGTGTTCGTTATCATCTAAAGGAATTTACGGGGAGAACACCTCAAAATAGGAGGGAGCTATTCAATCTTAGACATTCATCTTTGAGGTCAAAGATTGAACCTACCTTCGGTATATTGAAGAACCGTTTCAAGATTCTCACATCAAAACCCCATTACCCTTTCCCCGCACAAGTTGATATCGTTCTGGCGTGCACGGTTCTCCATAACTATATTGCAACAGTCGACCCAGAGGATGAATTGCTCAATGAGACCACTGACATTGAAGAGGAGGACGGCGAAGAGGAAATCAATGAAGAAAGCAACGTTATGGATTTCACGCTGTCCCAGACAGTAAGAGAACTGAACGCCTCAAAGGATGAGTGGAGGTCTCGTAGAGATCAAATCGCAATGGACATGTGGATTGATTATTGTAGTAAATATCGGCATGGTGATACTCACGAGTCTGCCTTGTGATTTGCTCCCGTAGTCCTGAGGTTTTTATAAGTAATTTACCTTAGTTGGTCGTGTACCTTATTAAAGAGAAATCTTGGAGACTAAAGTTCTGTTTTGCGACTATATCTATTTATGATTCACTTAGTATCTGTTGCTGTCCAATCATTTGCCGGGTGCTTGTATGTTTGTAATTTATTACTTGCTAGCTTTCTTACTACATGCTTGTAATGTCATCTATTACATATGAGATCTGTACTTGTCTGATGTTGTTAACTGATCTGTTGCAATCATAGGATACTTTCCACTTTGTCATTACTTGTTATGACTCGCATATGACCTTTTTGCATCTGAATTTGTTGAACTATAGGCAATGGGTGAAAAATCATCCTCCGATCAGAATAATCCAATGGCCCCAGCAACATCTCATGCGTTCCCTGCAAGCATTGGCTTTCCCCAAAGTGTCAATCCCATGTTCCAGTCATCCTCGCCCTTTGTGCAATCACCGTCAGGTTTTTCAAATATGCCTCACTACGATGGTAACTTTTTCCCTTTGCAGCACCCCATTTCATCTTACATGCACATGCTCAGTAGTCCACCACCTTTGCCACAAAATTTTCAAGGCTCCAATTCATCCGGGCAAGTTCATTCGCCAGCTAGTATTACAGGAACTAGTTCTGATTCACGAAAAAACAAAAGAATTGCCAGGGATGAAGCAGTAGCCACTTCTGCTTGTTCACCAAGAAAAGCCAAATCACTTGCCCATAAGAAACGAAAAATCCCACTCGAGCTTGAAACTGCAAAAGTTGGCCCAACCAGATGGTGTACCACTGCACATGATGATGTGCTCATACCCTTCCTCGCAAATTTGGCCAAGTCTGGTCTTAAGCCAGACAAAAAATTTAAGCAACATGCATTTGCAATGGCTGCCGCTGAAGTGAACAACAAGTTTGGTACTTCCTTTCAAGCGAAGAGTGTTGTAAACCATATGAAAACAATCCGTTCTTGGTTTCAAGACATGCAGGCTGCTCGTAACATTAGTGGTGCGGGTGATTCTGTCTCCTACACGTTCAAATGTTGTGTATTGATGCGTGCAGGATAAAAATAAGAGCAAGCTAAAAGAATACATTAATAAGCCTCTGAAGCACTATGAGAACCTGGCAATCATTTGTGGGGATGATCAGGCACGGGGTAACTTTGCTAAGGCGGCAATGGAGAAATTTGGGGGTCAGGAGCCGATTAACCTTGCAGGTGATGACGATGAGGATGATAGCATTCATAAGTCCCAAAAGTCCCCGCACTCAGTCACCTTAGCAGATGAAGATAATCAATCTGAAAACACCAAAGTTAGGTCATCCAGCAAGGACAAACAGAAGAGAATACCTTCGGCTAGAGGGAGGAAGGCCCCATACCAGCAGGAGATCATGCAACAATTGGTTTATTAACACTATGACATATTTAGCTGGAAACAGATGCATGTCCTGATTTGCAAGTATTCTAGGACATTGTGTTGCAATTGTTTACTGGTGTGGGATATATGATATTGTAGACATATATCTGAGCACAATTGGATTATTAACACTATGACATATTTAGCTTTGCTTGTCATGCTTTCATTGCCATCATGTTTGACATTTCAGATACCTATTGATTGTGATTCCTCATGTTCTCACTTTGGGAGTTATTTTGCATATAACATCTGCAGTTTGTGTGCTTGTTTTACGCACAATTGTTTTTGTTACCTATATGCATGTCCTGATTTGCAGAATCATTGTTATCTCCACACGTTCAAATGTTGTGTATTTGAACTCAGCCTTTACACGTGACCAGTCTTTTTTGTGACTGAACCTGGGTTTTTGTGTTGTTACCTATATGCATGTCAAGTATTGCAGCATCATTTTCATCTCCAGCTTGTCAGTTGTGTATTTGAGCTCAGACTTTACACCTGAGCTGTTTTTTTTTTTATTTTGAGACTGAAGTTTGATTTTTGTGCTGTTACCTATATGCTCCTTACTGATTTGCTGCATCATTTATGTCTCCAGCGCCTCAATTGTGTATTTGAACTCAGACTTTACACCCGAGCTGGTTTTTTTTTTGGGACTGAATCTGGTTTTTTGTGTTGTATCCTATACGCTTGTTACTGATTTGCAGCATCATTTATGTTTCCAGCGCCTCAGTTGTGTATTTGTAATCAGACTTTACACCTGAGCTGGGTTTTTTTTTTGACTGAATCTGGATTTTTGTGCTGTTTCCTAAATGCTTGGTACTGATTTGCAGCATCATTTATGTCTCCAGCGCCACAGTTGTGTATTTTAACTCAGAGCTGGGTTTTTTTTTGTGACTGAGCTGGGTTTTTGGGCTTTTAACTATATTAATCTTGGGATTTGTGGCATCATTTTCATCTCCAGCTGTTCAGATGTGTATTTGAACTCAGACATTATCACCTGAGCACTTGTTTTTGTTACTGAGCTGGGTTAGGAGGTCTGTTACCTATATGCATGTTTTACGTGTGCAATGATGACTGTCTTTTTTACCTCATATTCTTCAACAGTAGATAATACATGCAATGTTTTGGCGAGGCAATCCAAACATTTACGTAATGAGATAAGGAGTAACATGTATAGGAATGCAACCAACATTGTGGTGCAATTGTTTACTGGTGTGGGATATATGATAATGTAGAAAAATATTCTGAGCACAATTTGTCATTTTTTTTAACATTATCACAAATGGAATGTAACCCCTTTAAGCTGTTGAATTGGATTATTAACACTACGACATATAAATCCTTGCTTGTCATGCTTTCATTGCTATCATGGTTTGACAGTTTGAGATTGTCAATGCTTGTGTTTCCCCTTGTTCTCACTTTGGGAGTTTTTTTCATATAACATCTCCAGTTTGTGTTTTTGTTGTACGCACATGTTTTTTGTTACCTATATATATGCATGGTGTGTTCCGCAGCATCAATTTCATCACAAAGTCTTGCAGATTTGTATCTGAGCACAATTTGGCAAACTTTATTTATCTATATCACCATTCGAATGTGTCCCCTTTAAGCTGTTGAATTAACTATATTAACACTACGACATATAAATCTATGCTTGTCATGCTTTCATTGCTATCATGGTTTGACAATTCAGATTGTCAATGCTTGTGATACAAGGTTGTTTTCACTTTAGCAGTTTTTTGGACATACCAAACCAGCAGTTTGTGTTTTTGCTTAACGCAATCATGTTTTTGGTTACCTAAATATATGCTTGGCCTGATTCTGCAGCATCATTTTCGTCACAAACTCCAGGTTTTTCTTGTGAACTCAGACCAGCAGCATGTGTATTTTCGTCACAAACTCCAGCAATGGTTTGTTCTGCAGCATCATTTTCATCTCAAAATTTTGCATGTGTACTTGAACTCAGACATTTGTTACCTACATGTTAGTCCCTGCAGTCTTATGAAATTTTTGTTACCTTTTTGTTACGCACATGCTTTCATTGCACATGTTTTTTGTTACCTACACACATAAGTCCCTGTATTATTCTCAAACTTTTGCATTACATTTTCAAACAGCAGATTAGAATGTTTATGACCACAAGGGAAATACTAAATATTCCTAAGACAACAATACATTTCTTCAAGTAAACAACTTGTTGGTTTGCAAGCTTCAATTCTCTTCGCAAGTGCTTGTTTTCCACATCTTTAACTTGGGAAACTGGTTGAGGAGAGGGATCCAAATTTACCTTTCGGTTGTTGTTATCGTGATGCTCTTCTGCCCACCTGAAATACTGGCATTGCCTATTTGGAAAGTTGGCGCAGCCCCAAAAGTATTTGCCCTTGTTTACTCCTGATTTGCAAAGCTTTAGTGGCGTGGGTATGTTACAGTAGCAAGTTACCGCTGTAGCTAATTCATGAGACTGTTGGCTTGTTTCCATGTCGCCGCTTTATTTGCCTCTATGCTCTTTAATTTTTGCCCAGGTTGCTTGCTTACATATGAGAGAATACCTTGAAGGAGGATTGAGATGATCCACATATATAAGTGCAGGGGGGGGGGTGTTCTAACTTGTTTCCGTTGGCATCAAAGAGCTGTTGCAAATGTTACTGCTTGTTACTGTTTGGGGATGGCAGTTTTTGACCGTTGCACACTTTTTACCGTTGCTTAAAGAGATGGTTTTTGAGCTGTTTTCAATCTTTGAGGTTGTGCAAACCGAACATGAGAAAATTGGGAAATGTGACAAAGTCCAATACATTTCTATCATGTTAAGTGTTGAAACGAACACATTAAATGTGACTTTTGATTTCTATCCCTTCATTTCCATGTTGAAACGAACAAAAAACTTCAAAACTGAGAAAGCACATTGAAATGTTTGGAATTTGATTTCTTGGTACAAGGTTGTTTTCCTTTTTTTGGCGGAAAACAAACGAACAGGCCCTAAGATCTTAAAAAAAGAATAAAGAAAAAAGCAAAGAAAAAGGTGTGTTAAATGGAAGTGCGCATATTTACAAGGGGCTAAGAAAACATACCAGAGATTCGAGTTGGGTGGCGAAGGCGCGAGTCTTCCTCTCGTCCTGAGCTTGCTAGAGTCTACCCCAGAAACTTCCTCTCTCCCATCATTCTCATCTGCTCTCGATTATTCTCCCATCCGTTTCGGATGCATTATCTCCTTATCGGATCCCAATGTCGGCTCCCGATCTACTTACCCCCACTCTCCATATTACAATGTCATCGGATTAGGGTTAGGGTTAGGGTTCCGTTTCTCTCTGATGGATCCGGATCCGATCCCGATGCGCTGATGGAGCCCGTCTGAAGCTGTTGATGGTTCCCAACACGAATCACGATGATCCAGCGAAGGCGCTGAGGGTTTATTGTTCCTTGTCTTTCAAAGTACTCGGGCGGCGACAGCAAAAGGTGAGTTATAAATATTGTAAAGTAATAATTATTTTTTGATTGTTTCTTTGGTTGTCATGTTCATTGGAATTTGGAGAAGTATAGTGAAATCAAGCAGAATGTCAATACACTTTGGCAAAAAAAGAAAAGAAGGGGGTAAATTTTGGTTTAGAACTTAGGTTTTTTTGGGTGTCATGTTGCTTATTTAAAAGAAGAGAGGAAGAGGGGGGATTTTTTTTTCAATCAGTGTTCTCGCATTTTAATCTGACACCGTTCGCCAATGCATTAATGGCCATTATTGGAATAAGAAGGCCGGAAAGCAGAGAGATAAAGATCCTCATGATGACGCACGCAATAGGAAGTTCAGAGATTATTATTAACGGATCCCTCCTTAAGATATTACTCAAGTGAATTGTATGCTTCAGATTGCGTTCTTATGTGTATACCTCATTATGTGTTTGTTTTAGGTTTCTATATCTCTTTCCATGAAGGTGCCTTTTGTGATTCCAATTGGGTTGTGTTCGTTTCAGTCAAAAGCTAACCGTCACCTCTTGCATGAATATTCATGTGTGAGTATAGTCTTACGTTGGAAAGTATAAGAAAAAGATGAGTTTAAATAGGAGTTGGGGCCAATACTTAGTCGCTTAAGCTTTTGAGTTAAAATTGGTTTTTAGTCTCTGTTTAAGGTCCATTAACTCTAGTTTGAGCATGATCACTCCCCAACAAATGACATCAGAGCTAAGGTTGTGGTCTAAGTAAACTTGAAGTCCAGTGTGAAGCCCAAAGACATCAGGAGAATGACTAAGGTCATGAAGATTAAAGTTAGATCAAGTCAAGTTAACCCACATATGCCCGTAGAAGTGGAATTATATGGTTAGGCCACAAGTGGTGGAAGATCCCATGGATGTTATGTAGCCATCCATGTTGCCTCCCATGGTTGCTAGTTGAGACCAAGTTAGTGAATACCATGGAGGATTGAACTGTGCCCACAAATGACGGGGAGATTTGCAGGAATATTCATGTTTGAGTATAGTCTCTCATTTGAAAGGATAAGTAAGAGGTCATGGGTTAGATAGAGGTTGGGCCCAATACCTAGTAGATTAAGCTTTTGGGTAAAATTACTTCATAGTCTCTATTTAAGGCCCATTAAGGCCGATTAACTCTATTTTGGGCATGATTACTTCCTAACACCATTGCATCTACAACAACGACAACAATAGAGAATGTATCGAGCGTTTATCAGGAGGCAAATATGATACTACCGAATTTTGGCTTCAGGATATTCTCTGACCTTCACTCAGCCTATTTGTCCTCTACCCATGCTGCCCCGCGAATGACCTGGGTGGTTCCTGTCACATGTTAGGTTGTTGGAGGCTTTCCACATCAAAATGCAATAATTCATCTTAAATTTTGGCATGTTACACAAAATTTATATATACATTTATGTTAAGTATTAGTAACCTTAATGACTACAAGAGTACAATGATTAAAGTGGAGAAACAACACTAAAATACCCTGTAAGTTGAAGAGAAACTTAGAAAGAGATGTAGAACAAGCGATGGTTTATAGATTTGAGTATGAGGTAATTAAGAAGAAAGATGCGCAAGGTTTTATGAGAAGTTAGGATAGCTTATATTGGAATTGTCATTGAAATAGCTCAGAACGTATAAACCCATAGTGAAGGATAAGAAATAATTTTTTGCAGAGTTATTTGTGAGTCTTATGTTTATACCTATTTGCTTCTAATCCTGGTTATTAAGTAGTGATGAGCATGGAAAATGCTCTATTTATTCAAACTTGAGAATTTGGTAGATTTCAATGCGAGGAGCAAAATAAAGTATAAACTTTAGAAACTATATATCTAGCATTTAATTTTTGTTTAACTTGTGAACTTACATGAGTTTTTTCTTTTTTCTTTTTTTTGGGGTTAGAGCTAGTTGGTTTGATGAAGTTGGAGCTACATTTTACCTCCGATTTCGTGCAACTTTCTGTTCTTACAACTATTTCTATTTGGGTTGATGTAGTTAACCTATACTTTTGATCTGTATAAATGAAAAGTGGTTGTTTAATTTAAGGTATATCGTAGCTTTAAAATCAAGAAAACAGTTAAAGGTTGATGTGACGACCTGACTATGCTATCCCAATTATGTTAAATGAGTTTTAGTTTATGTCAAACCTAACAAGTCCCTCATTGGTAAGATTGAGTAGCTTTAGGGTGCGGAATTTATTGTCTTATTTACAATCTATTAGTAATGAGGTGTAAGTATTAAGCCATCCGTGTGAAAAGATATGGCGGTGTTAATTTTATTAGTGATTTAAATATTCATGTGCTAGAATTAGCATCGCTAAAGGGTTCTATATATTTAGAATTTAAATGAAAATTAACATTTTGAGGAGGGTTTGAGTGGAGGGAAATTCTAAGTTGACATTCAAGTCCCGTGTTAAACATCATTTTAAAAAGTGAGCTATGAGTTAGGCAGAAGAGGTGTCTAGACTGCTCAAGGGGCGCCTAAGGAGGTGCATGATGCTTAAATATTCCACACACAAAAAAATGTTGTGTGGTCTGATTATTTAGTAACGGGTGATGGTAATGAATTGGGTCAAAATAGATCATATCAAAGTACAATTCTAAATCCAATAAACCAGGAAACTAGGGTTTTAATTTGTGGAAAAACCCTTTTCGTCTTCTCTTTGTGTCTTCCGCGTCATGAGTCATGGGTCTATCTTCTATCGAATAAGTGTAATTGTCCGAGTCCTGACCATTGCCAGACTCACCTTTGACCATTGTCGAGACTTCCAAAAAGTGAATTTGTCTTTGATTAATTTTAAGAATAGTTTTGTTTACAAATTACATCATATTCACAAACTTATTTTCACCTTAACAAACTTATTTGTATTTCCCTCGATTCTTCCTCTTCTCATTCTCTCTTCTTCTCTCTTGATCTACTTATATTTTTACATTTTTTTGAAAAGGTTTATATAATTATATTTGGAAATTAAAGTGTATTTGAGATATTGGTCCTTCAAATCTCATCTATTTGGATACAAGTTCCCCAAATCACCATATTTGAATAGAAGTGCCCCTCATCTCATATATTTGGATATATATCCCCTTAATCTCATATATTTGGATACAAGACACTCAAATTATCATATTTGGATACAAGTCCTTCAAAACTATTAAGTTCTTTGAAACAAGTCCCCATGATTAATTATTATCCACTTAACACAACTTAATTAATGTGTTTGTTAAAATTTTTTATGTTTCATTTTATCCTTGTTTTTAACCTATAGTCAAAAATTAAGCCATTGTATCCTTTGAACCCATTGGAAACCAACTTTACCTTGCTAAACTTGTTTAAATCTCAGAGCTAATTTCTAATAACTTGTTAGTTTAGTTGGGTTATTAATTTCTAACAACTTGTTAGTTTAGTGGGGGTTAAGTGGGTGGGAAAAATCAGGGTACTTGTTGCAAATGACTTAATAGTTTCGAGGGATTTGTATCCAAATATGTTGACTTAAGGTGGATTTACATCCAAATAGATGAGATTAGGGGGATTTGTATCCAAATATGGTGATTCGGGGGACTTGTAGTCAAATAGATGAGATTTGGGGTACCAATATCTCAAAAACCCAAAAATAAATTGTCGCAAAATGTTTATGCAGACGCCTAAATGAGGTGTTGGGCACTAGGTCTGGTGCTTAGAAGCACCCAACTTTTTCTAAAATGTTGTTGTAAGTATCTCAATGTCTTTATTTTATAATGCATGACCATGGAGACACTACAATAGATTACAAATTGAAAAGTTTGGTTACGATGGATATGCCAATGCCAAGTTTTGTATTTCTAAGGTTGTGTGTTTCATGTTTACTCATTAGGATTGGCTGGAAACTTATTTTATTGCTGTTGCATTGATCTCTTCCCAGGAGTATGCTGGTTATTATCTATGCTGGTTATTATCTCTGTATATTAACATGTCCATGTCAGACAACACATATACACATCTTGGTGTGTCTTGTATTTTTTGTACATTAAAATGCTCTATCTCCCTTTTCTTAAAGGAATATGCATAGGACAAAATGTGTGTGCGTTCTTTTTTATAGTAATAATACAACAAATCGGTTTCTTGGTACATTATCTTAGGGCCCGTTTGGTTGGTTTCCTAAAAATCAAGAAAAGGAAATCGGTACAAGGAAATCAATAAAATAATATTTTTATCCATTTCCATCCCTAAAACTCACCCACAACATCTAATAAAATATTATTTTTATCTTCCAACTCATCTCATTTCATCTCCTTTCTTACATTTAAAAATAAACCAAACACAAGAAATGTGTCACATCATCCAACTCATCACAACTCATCTTATCCCATTTTTAAAAATCACACACATCATCCAATAATATTGTGACAACTCATCTCATCTCCTTAAAACTTCCTTTCTATCCATTTCCTCAAAAAAAGACAAGAAATTGGTTTCCTTAAGTACATGTCACATCATCCAATAATATACCTCCAACTCATCTCATCTCATCTATTTTCCTATTTTTAAAAACGAACCAAACACAAACAACCTCAAAACATCATCCAACAATATACCTCCAATTCATTTCCTTATTTTTTTAACCAACCAAACAACCTCAAAACAATTTTTTTTTAAATCACTCACATCATCCAATAATAAGGTGACAACTCATCTCATCTCATCTCCTATTCTACAATTTCCTTCTTTTTTAAACCAACCAAACAATCTCAAAACAAATATTATAGGAAATAGGTTTCCTATTCTTTGATTTCCCACAAAAAATTGCCAAACGAACAGCCCCTTAGTAAATACATCAATAATCAAACCAAATCTAGACTTATATGTACTCTGTTTTTGTCTCACACATAAAATCAGGCCCCTTTGTTGAAATCTTGGAGAAATATTCCAAATGTGCTTGTATTTTACTCTAAATGTTAAACTTTTTATACTTTTTCTCAAATCCTTATGAGCCTAGCGATTTCCCTTTCTTTATTT